CTTGCCAGTATCAAATATGATGTGTGATATATATAAAATGTTCAGTTACATGCTCACGCACGCACTCAACGCGCTCGCGAACGCACGCACGCACGCACGCACGCACGCATTCGACATTAACTTTCGTGATAACGAATTCGTGCAAAAAGGCGAGTGTCTCAAATGCCACTCATGCGTGTGACCTATGATGAATTCAATTAACACACATTCAATCGCGGCGATTGACTTGCACCTAGCATTACTGTGTGTGTAATGAAGCTTAATTGCGACCCTTTGCCCTGGAAAATTGTAGCCCGCGTCATTGCCTTAATAGTTAATCAACTACAATGTATTGGCAATGAACTTGACATATATAAGCAGGCTCAGTTATCCAAGCGAGCTGCGAAATCATGAAGAAATCCGCACTCAGCCACCAATAATCCTCGTTATTTCGACTGGAATCTCGTAATTATAGTAAACCTGGGAGGTTGTCTAATATAATTCATGAATAACTTGGTGACTCAATATCAAATCTGTCAATACAATATAAAAATAATGAAAATAAATGCCATACAACTAATATGAAATGTAGAAGCAAGAAGACATAAATTCGTACACTTGGTCTGGTCGGCAGGGCCGACATGCCTGTGTGTGTGCGTGAGGGGGCAGCTGCCCCCCTAGATTTCGGAGCAAAATAAAAAAATAAGCTTAGCAAATAATCGTAAATAACCCTAACGTGATTTTTTTTTGTCACTTGTCCGTGAAAGCCTTGTCTCAGACCCACCTATACTACACTATGGACGTCGATAAAGAACTGTGCCCCGCGCTGATCTTTACACAGTTGAGTCATGAAATTTACCCCCCCCCACCTAGGAATTTGCTCAGCCTACGGCCCTGGTCGGGCAGCTACTGGCGTCAAATAGGCCAAACAAGGGGCACGTGTCGTGACGACGTAAGATCTATCGACACGATAACGTGACGTAACTATTTAATTATAGCTAAGCTATCTGTCACTGGCATACTAATGTTGCCCATTTTAACGTTCTCTTTAGTTCTCTGACGTGGCTGCATGAGAGAGTTTCACAGCGAACTAACCTAACGTAATCCACGCATTATTGCGTATGCCTCGTAAATGGAGCGTGCATGTAACGTAAATCCTATACGGTCGCTATAAACTTATTTAAATGTTGTCGTGACACATCGCAATACGTCATAGGCGTCCACCACGCACCACGTACTTTGTTAAAATATTCTTCATGGCGGAGTGCTTAATGGTTTTTGTAATATTAGAATCGTACTTCCCACGTGTATGGATGGGCTTCCTACGAGGGAAGGCTACGGTGGGGGATGCGGACGCTCTCACAACCAGCAAGCACTCGGTCAGGTTACTAGTAGCGAGGTGTCGGAATGCTCATTTCATTCCAGCTGTTGGTGATCACCACCCATTCGATTTATGTAGTTTCCGGGATGAACACGATCTTCCTCTAGCCAATAGAACATTTGCTCAGCTTTGCTGCCTATAAAAGGAGACTGGCTGTCGCTGTGGTGTGCAGATGTTCCGTGAGAGGCGTCGGTGATTGTGCCTGCAAGATGCAACTGTGGTGTTTCTGCTAATTTGCGCTGATTCAAACCAAATAAAGAATACTAATGATAAATGAATTAATGAAAGATTAATGATAAATGAAAGCATACAATTACTCCGAAAAGTGCATTTGTGAACGTATATCGTGAAGCTTACATCGGACAAGTTTGGTAAATTGCTTATTGGATATATTATTGTATACGCGCAGTACATCGGTAGTGGTAAAGACGTTTACATGTGATTGTTATTATCATTTGTTTACAGAAACTCCATTTTACATCTTCTATATGTGAATAGATTCATTCTCCTTTTGCTCCGATTGTATCACAATTAAATCGTGTAATGATAATCAAGAAACGTTTTGTGAAGAATCACATTCGATTTCTGCGTTATTCTGCGCGTTTTGTGCTGCTTCATGTGCATGGATAACAACTACACAACTACAACAACACAACTACATTCTGATTTGGCGACATTCATCATATCTATAAGCGACATGAGGAAATGTGGAATTTTGCATCGCTAGGACAGTTTCTAAGCAAGGAACACCTACATTTGTGGATACTCGCCTTACTCCTTGTTCTGACCTTATATATCTGCAAGATATTATTCAACTTCATACACGGTAATGTCCCTCATTAATATTTTATCATATATATATATATATAATATATATATATGATCAAATATTATATATAATGATAGATATATATTAGATACATATATTCTCTACTCCGCTATCATATTCATAGTTGCGTCATATGATGAGTTATATATGCTGGTGAGTCATATACTGCTAAGATGCTGTCAGTTGCGTCGCTGTCGACCTAAGCACTCAGACGCAGTGAGTTGCAATGCGTCGCGTCACGTCGCATTCAATCGCAATCCTACCTAAAGCCAGGCCTGGTAGCATACTAGAGCACAGGTTAATGACTACATTGTATCTATATTGTATATATATATATATATATATGTGTGTGTGTGCGTGTGTGTGTGTGTGTGTCTTTCTGTACATATTGTTTGTTCACAGTTTTTACTTTAGCGCACATGAATCTCTTTATAGATTATAATAATTAAATGTAAAAATTAAATCCTTCCCGCGCCTATGTGGCACATAGAGCGGTGCCTATCTCCGCAGCCGCTTTCACAGTAGATAGTACAGCGGGGGGGGGGGGGTTAGTCCACTGGTAAAATTATAATAGGTGCACGTATATTATAATGCGTCCCTACTACTAAAAAGAACTGGTTCGAAATGATCAAAAAGAGCGAGCTATCAATATAGCATTCATTAGACTTAGTATACGCCAGGAATGTAATCATTGCTCGTACGATAAATTAACATGTGTTATGCACATCATCGTGGTTTCCATAAAACTGGCACATGTCATTTTTTGCACATCGTTTCAAAGCAATTTCCTGTATGACTAGCTTTGACGTAAACAGTGTGATATCAGGGACTCAACTTTGTTTATTGATATATAGATTTTAGTGCGATTTGTCCACATGTGATCAATCAGTTGAGTTATGTTGTGTAGTGTGTTACAGCAGGACAGGAACGAAGGAAAATGCAAGCGACTGAGCAGATCAAAGGTAAAAATTATAAATAGTAGTAATTAGTTATATTAGGTAGATATTAATATTGCGCGATATATTAAATGTATTAGCATCAGCTCTCCAATATCTTAATCTATCCATCCATCTATCTATCTATCTATCTATCTATCTATCTATCTATCTATCTATCTATCTATCTATCTATCTATCTATCTATCTATCTATCTGTTTAACTATATATATATATATGTTTATATATATATATATATACCCTTCTCTTTCACATTTGTTCTCTCTCTTTCTCTCTCTCTCATTCTCTCTCTCTCTCTGTGGGTGCACGCGTGTACGCGTTTCGGCGTGTGATCCCATATGTGTCTATCTATAAATCGAACGTACTTCATGCGGTGTAATAGCTCGACTTTAGAGTTACTAAAATAAATCTCGGTATGGCTCGGTATGCGTCCCCAAGAAGTTGTGTGGCTAGAGATACCTATAATGGTTCGTTCGAAGTCTCTTTTCTCAATGGCGACTAGTAGGCCTATAAGTCGTGAATGTGTGTTTTTCCATGGCCTATAAAAAATGAACCTGAACTAAGGGCACAAACGTTAGGAAAGCTCTTAATTGTAGGACAAGCTCATAATAATGCTTTGAGTTTCGCTAGCGCGGCTGGAAATCGTCCGTATGCTAGCTTTAGCGAACGCCATACGACTTTACGACGTTCGCGCGATATAAAATCGTGCACTTACATCTAGCTTAAACAACTAGAAAAAACGCAAAAATTGGAAGTAGATGTTTCGCAAAAATCGTAAAGCACACTTGCTGTTCGTTAGCAAAAAAAGTTATGGCGTAGCTAGTGTTGGACATATAATGTTATGCTATAAATTTGGACGAAACCCATTGGGCTGATTGTGCAAGATATCGTTTCCATGCAAGAGAAAGAGGTTTATACGAGTGTCATAAACATGGAAACGTAATAAATTTGTACTGACAATGTCTACTACGCCCCGAATAGACAATCGACTAAAACCAGCATAAAAATCAATTTGACTCGTATGCGTTCGTAGAATTACGGAACACGATAGATCGACAGACGCATTGGTGGGGTGGGGAGGGGCAGGCGAACTATAGAACAACAGTATAGAAACAATCACCTATTATGGTTTATATGTATTCTTACGCTTAGCTTAAATGCTATGACATATAATATAATAATGTTACGCATACATGCATGCAAAACCAGCTCCGCTGTGTGTTAAATGTTTTCGCAAAATGTATTTTAAGTGACGTAAGGTGGCGCCAAGTGACGACAGTTAAATGTTTAATTAGAAGGCTAATTGATTTTAAGGCAATTTGCTTTTACGCAACCAGTTTTCCGTCATGTTCCTATGGAAACGTACCATATGCGACTGTGCATGAATATATAGGCAGGCACGCTATTTTTAAATAGTAATTCCCAAGAAATTGGTACTCATTCTTTTTCTATTTACACATACATATATATTTAGATAATAACTAATTATTATTATTGTTATTATTATTATTATTATCATTGTTATTATTATTATAATTATTATTATACAGAAACTCATGAAAATGGCGGGGAAATTACTGAAGAAACGACATATCACAGTTCTACATACAAGAAGACGTACACGCAGAAATGTGTACCGCGTAGAGAGCGAGGAGGAAAAGGTTTGTCTTTGATTATATATTGGACGGGGACGTTATTGTCATCGAAAATGAGTGAACAACAGTAGTGTTATAGTGGGATTGGCTCTTATTCATTATGTGTAATAACATAATAAACGCGCACCCATAGATATGATACTGCAAAGGAAAGAAGAAAAATGATATAGAATATTAAAACGCTATAACCATTTTTTTTATCACCACAAGAAAATTATTACCGTTTATTTCTAACATTATTTCACTCCTAGTACGTATACCTACTATTAAAAAAATCATTGGATTACCAATGCTTATACAAATTTTCAGGGTTACTTACTACAAAAACCTCGTTAATTTTTGCTATCTCATATGCGCTTAAAGCGCATTCCATTGGCATTTCCCCTCAGCATCAGCTTTTAATTATGAGCGACAGAGTCCTGTCAGCGCCGAGCTAGGACAGTATGCATCAGGTTTTGGCCTAATACAAATGGGCTGCGTTCAAACATTAATGAGCACAGTTAGCCTAGTACAGGGAGAAGGTCATCATCTATTGCATAATATTCTTATTTCATGATGAAATGACACATTTGACACCTTTACATTTTACATTTAACTGTGTTTCTGGATGGTAAAACGACTAGACTGGACTGTTTTCAGATATGAAACCAATCCGGTGATCTGTCGAACGATATTAAGAGAGCAATGATGTCGACGAATGTTGTTCATTTAAACTTCAGTTTATTTATTTGACCTTGAAGAATTAATAACCACATGCAATGCGTGTCTCCACTTTCTTCAACGTTACTTCTCATTGGAACATTGCTCTAGCCATATAAATGTAACTTATGTAAGTAATGTAAGTAAAGTAGTAGTCAAACAATTCCAAGAGCGTGACAAAGGTCACCGTTGCAGAAACCCAATCCAGTGCACTGCCTTGCGATAGCATTTTTTATGTTAGTCCTGCATGGGCGCCTGTTGAGTAGCAATGGTATCGCGCACAAAGTAGGATTTTGTTTTCCAAACGACATAGCTTTCCTTAAAAACCCATTGGAAATCATGTAGCTACACCCAATATTTGTTTTTGTACTGTTAGGATAACACTTGATATGAAGCAATGCGGGTAGTTATAGTGCGACGGACGATATTTCTTACAAACGACCTCATTGAGAGTAAAATGCTGGCCACTCGGAAGGGTTGAGCCCGGAATAGTGTATGAACTATTTACGAATGCCTTACTTACGAATGACTTACTTACAAATGAATTACTTACGTGTATGAATAACGTAGTTTAGCAGCAGTTCTTGGCAGGAACAAAAACTTGAGCTAGAGAAACTAAGCGTTTATTAATGATTATATATAGTTACTAATATTAACCTATAATTTACTGTATGAATAATATGTTTTTTAATGATTTTCACGAATTTCAGTAACTTGTGGACACATTATATAGGCCTAACCATAACGCCCGCCACCGCTTATTTGCAATAAAATCCTTCAAGCATAAACGGCGATGGTGAAGTAAAACAACCCACGCTCTACCCCGCACCTCAAAACACTCTACTCGCGTCCTAAATCAAATTTGAACTGTATTATTTTTATCGAACGGATAGCTAAGTTTGGATATTCCTCGTCATACATACGCGGCTTTGAGTAAATACATACGGCCCGCGAAGAAAACTTGAAATACAGATAATATATAATGCCTTAATCATCGCAACGTATTTCTTATATTTAGGCAAATAGACGTTGAATTCCGCATATTGGTTATTGGCAGCTGCTCGTCTTTGCGTACGTTAAGCTGCAAACTCTATGGCATGTTTTTTTTACTCTTTACTCCATGATGCGGTAGCACGTTACGGATACTGATGCTACATTTTGTTGTATCTTGCAACATTGTTTTAAATACTACCCCACTGTACAGGAAGAACTTACCTTCGACAGAGCTTGCATAATGCGAATGAGTAATGTCTACTGTAAGTTGTATTAAATTTTTATGGAACGCATAACTTCAGTAGTGTACCGGAGTATAGTACTCTGAGCAGCTAGGCCGCGCAGCAGCGGAGATGATTCTTGTGTCAGGGGGAGCACTACACAGCTGCTGCTGTTGCTGCTGCTGCTGCTCATGCTGCTGCTGCTGCTCATGCTGCTGCTGCGGGCAATCGGGAGTTGAAAGCTGAGCTGCCCCTGGCTTAACCAACAGTGTTGAGGTAGAGCAGGATGTGAAAGTACCTCTTGGTTAAAATCGTCGAAGCCTTCTCTCTTTCCCTCTCTCTCGAGTGCCGGACCGCCTCGTGCCTTTCACCGCGTGTCTTAACACCGGCTAGTGATTCCACCTACTCGCAAAGTAACTCTAGAACGTGCGTCCATATTGCTGCTGCGGATTCATCTCTCGTAGACCATCCATGATACCATCCATCGTGCGACGTTCGTGAACTTTACTCGTCTGAGCGAATCGTGATAGTGCAGCTCGCGCGCGCCTTTGTTACAGCGCACTATATTGTGGTTCTACTAAATTCCTAGGCAAAGGAGTGAAATCTTTTTTTGACGCGCAGCTAAAATTAGTCGCAGCAGTTGCGTTCGTTCTGCTGAACAGCTGATGGAGTCTACGGGGCTGGTAATGTAACCGACGGCCTGACGTGGGCCGTATGATCGCCGACGAGGTTTCGTACATTTTTTTGCCGTTGGTGCTTGGCTGTGCTGCATTTTTTTATGCGTATATCATTCAACTGAGTAAGTATGAGCCGCACGCGCGACAGTTCGTGAATCTTGACTTTAACCCAGCTTTCAACGTGGACAGAAGAACTCTTTGTCAGTGCATCTGGAAGTATTTGTCAGTAGTAGTAAAGTACTATACGTTCGCAAAGTGTAATGCACGCCAATATATACTTGCACGTATATGCTAGCTAGTTAATGAACAATAATTTTACTTAGGATTCTCTTACTTATGATATAAAACATCGATGTTGTGCATATATATATCGATGATGTATTCATTGAGCGATGAATTGTCGTGCACCATAATAGTATTCGTCAAGGTTTTTTTACCCAAACGTTAACAAGATTGCATCTGTAACGTGCCTCTTATACTATCGTGATCGTAATAGTGGTATGCGTCGGGTGAAGTCACACCCGGTGCTAAACGGCTGTCATGTACAACACATAAAGAACGCAAGACTGAGATGTACGTATTTACAGCAAGTACATATTAAATTAACAGAACTTAACTAACGTATAATCCCACAAACGGGGCAGAAACGCGTACATATGCTTGCGCGGTTTCTGAACATAACTTACGATTGCAATAGACGGTATGCGGTCGCAGAGACGGTGTACAAAGTGTCTTGAGCGGATTAATAGAGAGATAGCCGTGCGAGCCGTTTTATATGCGCGTCCGTCTATTGTCTTTCTCCTGGCCAATAGACCTTATCCTGCGCGCTAACTGGCTGTCACATAATGGGACTGTCCAGTCAGTGGTCAGCGTTTAAACAAAGCCTCCTTCTCCAGCTATCTCCATTATAACACATATTTATAGCACTAGCTTTATCCCTGACTTTCATAATTACTTATGAACTAATTTCTCTGTATTACACATCAGAGTGACAACCACTGTCTAGTAATTCATTGACGGGATAGCTCTTAATATAAGATATTTTTAGTGTACCGATTGCGACTATATAACTGCTAGACAAATCTATTACAGCTCTGCGATTCCAGTACTTATCTGCGGGACTTTTCATAGACCGTGCGGTTAGCGCATTGTTTTATTAACACAAAACGGAATGTGTTTGAATAGTACCTCTACATTCCGTTATTGATAGAATACGGCTATCGTCTGGCCGATAAATATACACTGGCCGTCAAAATCAGTCGAAATTCATGCACAGGCATTAACATATGGAACGATATGATATGACCGGCGGATGTGCCAAAAGAATGAGACTAGCGCCTGGTTTAGTAAACATGCTGCTCCGTTTGAAATGTATTGCAACTACCCAAAGGTGTTGCATTTCGGATACGGATATTTTTTATATGTTTTTGTCTGTCGAGACGGCCGCATTTAGAACGGCTATTATTATCGACTTAGTCTATTATAGCTAATGAAGCGATGCATAACTCATTCTTATTTTGAAACAAGCGTTGTAGAGAAATTCTAGTGCGTACTCTACGCGACCATACGCGTTGTAGACATGAACATGCACATTTAAAAATAATTTCAGATGGCTATAGTTTCATTTTGCATAGTTATTGGTGGGGTGAAAGAAACTGACAAAATATAATTATTTAAATGATCTAACAACAAACAACACAAAACATAACTTGTAAGCGTAAAACTGGTGAAGTGGTTGACATTTGACGTAAAATCCTACGCCTACTTGTTTTTATGTCACATTGACTTAATTAACATCTATACACTCATAACATTCTAATGATTCTATTAATTTGAAATTGATGGAATTTGCGCAACCCCTCTAATTCCTTGTTACGATAGCATTGCGTGTTTTATTGAAATTTAGTTTTGTTTGGAACATTTACCTATACAATTTCTATTATAGAGACATAAATAGATCTTCTATAGTCTGTCATTACATGTACGAGTAAATACGGCGGTTGCTCACTGGTTAGTGAGGCTGTATTACTGCTAATCTACATATCCTCTTATCTACTCCCCATCCGTACCACACACACACGCACACACACACACACACACACACGCACACACACACACACACACACA